TCTTTGCTTCAGAATTTTTTAGTGGCTTTTTCCCCTTTTCGGTCCTTGTGGGCCTTTTCCAAGGACTAACCAAATATCCAGTGGTTGTTTAAGTTGAGCGGGGCCGGGGGATACTCTGGGCAGATGGAAGGAGGGTGCTTTTACTTCCCCCTTTTACCTGGGAATAAGAGGGGTGCAAAGATTGCAAATATGTTCTGAAAGTATAATGTCTACAAGTTATTTTTGAAAAGATTTGTGGAGTCTGAGAAAGGTTTGGGCCACCCATGTGGTATAAGGGGTAAAGCCAGGATGCCGTGGGCAGCCTGTGAGCTATGTCCCCTGGAGCAGGTGGGGGCCAGGGCTGCCCAGTGGCCTCCTCTGTGGTGGGGAGCCCTCTGCGAGCGTCGGGGCCCCGTCGGTGTTCCACTCTGATGTGAAACTCCAGTTGTACAGTCTCTCACCAGAAATGATGGAGGTGGCCCGTGATTAGGATCAGCTGGAATGAGATCTGTTACTTATACTTCTAAGAAATGAGATTCGACCTGCAATATGAAGTATATTAATTTGTATTATGTAGCTCAGTGATCTCAACCCCAGCTGGACATTAGAATTACCTGAAGAACTTTAGAAAATACCAAATGCCAAATGCCTTGCCCCAGAATAATTAAAATCCGGGCAGCTAAGGCGAGACCATGTATCAGCATTTCTTAAAGCCATTGCAGTCAAGTGGAATGGTGGGGGGTGGAGGTGGGGAAGGGGTTGAAAACTACTGAGTGAGAGGGTCAAGAAGCAGGGAAGGAGGGTCTTAGACTGCTCCTGCTACTATTCAGAGTACAACTAGGATGGCAGCGAACTTACCAGTGCTCAATACATGCAGGTGTGGTTCTAAGTATTTTTCATGGAATGAAATTACCCTCGGGTAACTCCTTACAATAACCTATGAGCTTATTTCATTTTTACAGAGTGTGTATGGAAGACTTTGAGGAGGTAAAGCCATTTATTCAGAGTGGAATAACACTTCTTGGGGATATTCTCTATTATAAAAGCAAGATATAATCTGTATGTGTAGGTATACAGTACATCTGGTTTTTATTGCTCTTGTCACGGAAGACTTAGGTGGTTCTTGTATGATTAGCAAGCCTCGGTCTTGCCACCTGAGATCCAGGTATAATATAGTAATCAGTTGGGCATCTTCAGATGCTAGATCACAAATCTTGGCTTCCTACTTCCTAGTATCAGACCTCCGGACCTCACATGAGTTTCCTGAAATGCATCTTTGTGGCAGATAGCTTATATGATAACAAAAGTAGGTAGGCATTGGTAACATACTGTCCAACACTCTGGTAGAACATATATGCTCTAGTAAACCCGTGTACCTGGATTTAACCCCTTTGCATGTTCACACATGATGCCTCATGTTATGTTTGCCACCTCCCTGCTAGGTCTCCATCATGAAGGGCTGGATGCATAGGGTGAGCTTTAGAATGTGTTGTGATTTAGCTGGTTGCAAAGTCTGAGACCACTTGCCTTCTATTCAGGGCATCGTTAATACCATTAAACCAGGAGTGTTTGGTTGGCGGTGGTTTTGGTGTATAGCTCTGTATATTTTAACCCACCTACAGAGCCATGTAACCACCACCATCAGCAGTATATGGACCAGCTGTATAGTGCGAAGGGCTGAAGTGATGCTTCAGATCTGTAGCTGTCCGTGTCCTCCACTCACCCGAGGAGCCTGGACAAGCTGGACTTCTATTAAGAGGTTTAGGTCAATGCCAGCCCAAGCTAGCAATTTCTTGGCAGTTTAGAGACAGGCCCTTCTGAAAGTTTGACTGATGGTAGGAGTGGGAATGTGGTGGGTATGCTATACCTTTCTTTCTTGCTTCACGAAATAACTGTAATCCTTGATCCTAAATGGAAGAACTTGAGACACAAAAAGGAGGCTGGATGCAGAGCTCCTTAAGCGTGGGTACTTTCTGGAAAGAAATGAAATGATGTGCCTCTCTAGGCCTCCAAAAATAAGAAGTACTGCCTCACAGGGTGCTGGGACCCGGGATCGGAGACTGGGTCAGAAGTGGACATTCATAGGGCAGTAGAGGTAGACGGCCTGTGAGCACTTGTCCCCTGCCCTGGCTCCACACCCTTCATCAACCCTCCTCTGCCTTTTCTTCCCAGATTTACATCTTGAGCTCCAAGTTCAGAGGCCTGGAGGGCTTGGGTCTGATCTTCCCTCCCGAAAACTTGGACACCCTCAGTAGAATCCTCTATCAGACAGGACAGTAGGAAGCTTCTTTGATGTTCAGGGAAGCTCCTGTGATAACAGTGTTCCCTTTGATCTCCACAGCCCAAAAGTTACCAGCTTCAGGTTTGAAAATTCTGACAGTTTTGTTTACTTTGTACTAAGAAAGTATGAGATCCTAAGGGGAAAAGCTCTACCTAAATACCGTGTAATGATACAGTTATACCCTGGGAAAATAAAAACTTGTAAGAAAATCAGGCAGCTCTTCTTTTCCTTTTCTGCACCTCTGTTATAAACAGAGGCATTTAGAGCCTCTGTCCTAAGAAGATACAGGAACATAACTGTGGATGGGCAGTCAGGGATCTTCTGGTGGAGATAACAACTGGGCCTATGGTGCAAGTGCCCACACTGGTCAGCCCTGTTCTTCTCTCTGCACAGAAGGAAGTGAACTCTTCTATAAGGGAGGGAGGGAGAGGGAAGAGAGGGCTGGACAACATTTGAGCTGAGCCAGAATGAAGGGGGTGGGGAAGAGCTTGTTTTCTGGCAGAGGAAAGAACTAGTTCAAAAGGTCCTGGCTGACAAGAGGTTGGTGTGTCCGGAGCAGATAGAAGGCTGTTGTGGCTGGTGGTGGGCATGGTAGGAGGCAGGGCTTGGGCCATGTAGGGTCATAGACCATACAAGGTGTCAACTGTTTTGTTCTTAGAGAAACAGATTTTAAGCAGAGGGCTAACATGGTCAGTTTGAGATACGGTTTAAAGATCCCTCTGATTACTGTCTGGATAGGAAAGAAATTAGAGATCATTGAAGAGACATAAGGGCTCTCCTGGAGGGCCCAGAGGGACTGGGGAAACATGATCAGATTTGAGTAATATTGTGAAGGGTGAGCCAATAGGACTTGCGAGTTGGTTGTACAGACAGCGTAAGGGAAGGAGATGAATCGAGGATGCTTCTTGGGCTTTGGAGCCTTTAGGGGAAGGGATGTATCCTGTAACCCAACAAGAGCAACCGGAGAGGCAGAAATGTGGGGGTGGAATCTGAGCAAATAAAGAGTTCTGCTTGGCCTGGCAAAGTGTGAGTTGCCTGTAGAGAATCGAGATGAGGTGCTAAGGAGTCAGTGAGGAACCACATCTGGAGTTTGGGGCAGCAATCAGGCATTGGTCAGTCCTTTTTAGGAGTTTTCAGGGACTTTGGCTCTTAGGGAAACTTTCAGTATTTTAGAAACATTCAGTTGTTGGAGTGCTCTTTGATGCTTGAGATTGACACCTGGAGAACATGCTGGAGCACGTTGGGATTTCTCCAATCCTCCTGGGAAGATATACTTATGCAATGATCACACAGGAACCTTCTGCAGCTATACCCATTGCCTTGTAGAGGCATAGTTCTGAATCTCTCTAGATTTAGGTGATTGTTTTTCTGGATTCTTTTGCTCACCTCCTCTTATTAAGTCAGACATGGATCTCACTTCTTATTTGTGTATGTTCCTGAAAATAATGCAGTCACCAGTGTGCCAGGTGTTTGTGCTTAAGTGTCTTGTGCGTGAATATTGGAGCCTATTGTCTCTTGACCACAACATCCAACTGGCCAGCAAGAGTACAGTCCTTGTTAACGTCAAGTGGGTGATAAATCAGAAGACTACAAAGAAGAGGCGATGGATGATGCCTCAGGATGGAAAAAGGCCGGCAAGCCAAACCCATTTATTTATGTTTGGATAAGTTTCCCCACTTAAAGTGTCCCTGGCTTAAGCTCTGCTTTCTCTCTTTATTCCAATTTCTTAAGTCACTTCTGCTCTCTGCTGAAGAATCATCTTTCATCTACTCCAATGAGGACTTTTACCTTATTTCCTCAGCTACTGTTCTAAGTATCCTCATATTTCCCGTATTTTGTTGTTGTTTGTTCTGTTAGAAAGTCTGGCTATCTTCATTTCTCAAGGAGATGATTTCCCTAGACTGACAAACATTGCCTCCTTGGAGAAGAGGCTCTGACTATATTCACCATATCTTTGGCTCCCCCACGTGATCAAACGGTCTTCTCTCCTCTCTGCAGTTTAATAGCTGTGTGACCAGGAGCAAATTACTGGATTTCTCCAGGCCTCTGTTCTCTCCTCCGTGAGCTGGTATAATTATAACCCACCTCTGATACCTGAATTAAATGAATGAATACCTGTAAAACACTTGGCAGAGTACCTGCTACAGAAAAGAAACTCAGCAACCTTTAGTTCCTGCCTTCACCCCTGTGAGCCTTTGTTCATCAGGAAATAGTACCCATGCACTCTGAAACCACACGAGTCTGAAAGTGGCTGTTACGCTAAGACAAGTGGCGCTTTGGCAGCAAGCTAGACTGAAAAGAAGAGGGAAATCAATTCAAGACAAAGTGGAGAAACGATGCAGTCGGTCTCAAAATGTGGTTCTGGGTCCCACTTGGGACCTTGTTAGAAATGGAGATGCTCAGGGCTACTGAATCAGAACCTCTGAGAATGGGGCTAGGCAATGCGTGTTCTAGCAAGCCCTGTGTGTAATTCTGATGCACACCGATACTGGGTGAGGAATCATGGTGCCCATTTCTGCATGTGTGTGTCCATGTGCACCCCCCCCCCATGTATACAGAATGTTTGTAACTGCTGCACGTATTAACCAAACATGGTAATACAGCGAAATCCCACCTACTTTTCTTTGGTACGGCTGACTAGAAATACATCAGAATGCTTATCTGCAATGCCTTTGCGCGAAATTCATTTTGAGTTTAAAACTACAGATTTACCAACTCTCTTCTTTTCCCTTTTCCCTAGGAAATTCCACTTACTTGGATGACCATGGACCACCTCCGAGTAAGGTAAGCCCTCTGCTTGTGGTAGAAATCCCCCCTTCCTTTTCTCAGTGCCTGCAGCCTCCACCAACCCCAACCAGATCCCTCTTGGCCCTGATTGTCCACAAGAAAATAGTAGACGGCAGTTGTCAGGTTGACCCTGGACTTATAGTATGGAGCAAAGGAAGCGTGTGGAGGCAGCCAAAATGGTGAGAGAGGAGAGCCGTTATCTCTTCAGGAGCTGCTGCTGTCCCAGTGCTGGAGCCTGCGGCTCACTTCAGGTCTTTGGCCGCTTCTCCTGTTTGCTGCCTCATTGGCCTCAGCATCCATGCTGGCCGATGATGCGATGCCCACAACCCAGCCTCCCCATGCCCTGGAGACTTGGCTAGACCCGCCTCTGTCCACCTCTCTCTGGCCTGCCTTCACTGGGACGCTCTACCCATTGCTCAGCCCCTTAGAACCAGATTCCTCTGCCAGGGCCCTCCCCAGGCTGCCCTGGACTGGCCTGTGTGCCCATGTTTGTTCTTTCTGTAAACAGTTTAGGCTTTACTTTTTAAGGGTCAGAGTCAGAACTGTCCAGTGAAGTATTAATATAGTTCCCCGCCACTATCTACTTTCTTGAAATCAATGAAAACCAAATGTCAGTCTAAAAAATATGAAAAAAATAAAGACAGTCTCTGACCACTGCAAAGTACAGTCTTAAATACACAGTGAGAAGAAAGTCAACCACTAACCTTAGCTGTTGGGTATTTACCCTAACCTCAGCTTTGAGTTTGGGATTTGAAGCACTCCACCCCATATAAGACCATGAGTTTCAAATCAGGTGTTTCTGGGTTCACCACTGGGCTCTGCCCCTTTGTGTATGACATCGGACAAATTACTTAGTATTTTGAGCTTCAGTGTTTTAATGTGCAAAGTAGGATTAAAAATACTGCCCATAGTACAGGAAGTCTAAAAGGATTGAACGAGCTGATATATGACAAGCACTCAGCATCTGGCGTGCTGTGAGCATTAAATAAGTGGTGGGGAATGTTAACTAGACTGGAGGAACATTAAGATCATTGATGAATGGTACAGTAGTGCTTGTCACCGTCGTGAATGGCTCTACCACGTGGGCCACTGTATATCAAGTGCCTGTGACACTGCAGGCATTAGAAATACAAGTATGAGACAAAACAAGAACAGCAACAAAATAGTCCCTACCTTGGATGCAAGAAGCATATGGAGGACTTGACACCATCTGAAGATAGTGACCACGGGTAGCTCATCTCATATCCTCACATCCTTACAATAGCACATGGTGGCTGTTCATTCAGTGGCACCGAGTTGGACCATGCCATCCAGAGCTGGAATCTGAATTAGTCTCCTGGCTCCTATCCCAGGTCTTTCCACCAGGCCAGTATTCTCAAACTTCAGCTTGCACCAGGGTCTCCTGGAGGCTTGTTAAAACACAGGTTGCTGGGCCCAGACCCCCCACAGTGTCTGATGTGGTAGTTCTGAGGTGGGATCTGAGAACTGGCATTTTTAACAAGCTCCCAGAGATGCTGGTGCTGCTGGTCTGGGGACCACATTTGAGAACCTCGGCTCTAAAAGTCGCATAGAGAACACCATTTCCCTGGACATTTCCTGTGTTGTTTTTGACTGCTAACAGCCTGCAGAGAGTGGTATGGCTGATTATGTAAGGGCTGTTTATTAATATCATGATGACGCCCGCTGTAACTTTTCTTGTAGTGAAACATACTTCCGTTGGTCAGTTACCTGCCCAGGAGGGAAAGTAGGTCCTGCTAGGTTTCTCTGCTACGAACTCTACTCCTCTCCCAAGTGAGGCCAGGCACCCTTCAGGCAAGAGGGGATAGGTGGCTCTGTCTGTGGTGCCCATCCCGTTTTCCTCAGTGGCATGTTGAGACATTGCTTTGGGCTCCAGGTTTGATAAATGGGTTTTACCTGTTCAGAAGGCCCAGGCCCACTTTATATAAACTTACCCTCTTATACTCAATCTTTGGTGACCAGCCTGGGGCACCCCTTTTGTTGGCCTGGGGGCCTTACTTTTGCCGGGGTGGCCATCCTGTCTGTCCCTGTGCTAATATCCTCAGTGTCTGGATCCTGTGTTGGCTGGGCTCTCTCCTGTCCCCTGAAGGTTTTTCTCAGTGCATCCTCCTACCCCCCTGCAGTCTGGTCTGCACCCCCCCCTCAACTAAGGCTCCCCAAGGTTCACAAAAAAGGTCGGGTCCTAGCAGATCATTTTCCACTACTTTCAGAATAAAAGAGTTTGTAAACTTTTCCAAGTTTGAAAATTGTGACTATAATCTCTTGAAACAAGCAGACGTTTATATAATACAGATTCTTTCACTATAACTATTTTCATGGATCTAGAAGTGGAGTAGCAAAAACACGCTTGACTTCCTAAGCAGTAGCCAGAATATGAAAATGGGTAAAAATAATATTGGTCTGTTAGCATCTTTTCATCCACGCTTATTGGTTCTGGCAGGGTGGAAATGAATCCCAGCAGTGATGAGGTCAGACTTCCAGATAAAGGTCCCTTGAGCATACCCTGAGGTGGGGCTTTGGTTATTTAGGTCTACAGACCACTGACATAACCAGGGGGACTGTGGCACCCAGAGGACAAGGGCTCACACATGTGTGGCCTCTGGTGTGAACCCCCCCACTTGGCAGGGGACAGCAGGACTGAGTCCAGACCCACAGTTTTCATCTTTGTTTAGCATTCAGAAATAACTTTTTGTTGCCAAGATCCAAAGAGCTATGATCTAGATAAAACAGGATTTTTAAGCCCTGAAAATATACTGAGGTTTATAGGCAAGTTCTCATTTTATTAAAAGCGCAGTCCTACAAGTTTCACATTCCACAAGTAATAGCCATTTGGGGAATGGGGTGTGTGCCACACAGCACTTACGAGGCCCAGGTCTTCATTGTCTCCGGCATTTTCATAAAAGAGAACCAAAGGCCTCTGATTTTCACTTGTTTTTCAAATCTACTTTAACCTCACAGCTCACCTCAGTTTTTGAGCTAAGTCATTTAAAAACAGATGTTAATATTTTCTTTTGTTGGCTACTTTTTGCTAGCATTCTGTGTGTGCACAGAATACGGTCTTTAAGATTAGACTCTGAATGAACATGTAGAGCTCTTTTGAATGAACTAGAAAGATATTCTCGCGTATAAAAACAGGCATGAAACAGCAAGCATAGTATGATCGCACCTCATAAAAAATTGTGTGTGTGTGTGTGTACAGAAAAGAGCCTGGAAGGATAATTGTATTTTCTCCAGATGATGAAATAGATTTCAGATTTTTACCCTATTTCTTATGCTTTTCTGTATAATTTTAGTTCACTAAAGTAATGCTAAGTCAACTTGAAGACCAGGGGAAAAAAAGATTTCTGGTGTGAGTTTGAACTTGGGCTGAAAAGCCTGTAGGCCTCTGGCTCTGGAAGCACCATTTGCAGGTCTGTGGACCCTCCCAGAGCAGCCTCCCCTCTGAAGGTTGACCTCTCCCGTCCTGGGTTCACTTCACCTGAAACGTGAGCAGCAGGCATTTGCAAAGATCAATTCTGGTGGTAACCATGACAGTCATCATTTCCCATGTGCTGGGTTTCCAGATCTGATAGATAGGGAGAGCTGGCCTAAGCAGCTCAAGGAAAAGAAAGTCACGCTCCAGGGTGGATGCCTGTTGTTTCCCATGTGCCAACCACTCTGCCAAGAGCTTTGCATGCACGTTTAGTCTCTATAAAACTCTATTAAAAAGGAAGTAATTTTTTAATCCTTATTTTACAGATGAGGGAACTGGATCTTACCGAGACTGAATGACTTGCCACAGGTCATGCACTAAGCATTGGCCTTGGGAATCCAGCCCAGGGCTGTGTGGCTTCAGGGTCCATGCTTTTAATCATTTCAAGATTGCTAATTTAAGTAGAAATACAATAGTTTCTACCTTATTTCTGGAGTTTGCTCTTTTATATAAGTTATTTGGGACCCTGACTATTTCAATAAAGAAGTTCTAACCCTCAGCATACCAGAAAAAAATAGTCATTACCATTTACCACATGGGTCCAATGGACTCTCTTAATTTTTTAACTATCTAGTGAATTTCTACCTCATCTTTTTCCTTCCAGTCACCTTTGTACACATACATATCTTCAGCATTTGTCCATTAACAAACTGTATATAAAATAAGATTTGGTATATAATCATCATAGAAGGTGAAAGAATACTGTCCCACATGCATTGAACGAAGTGGATGATCCAGGCTCTTGCTCGAGAATTCTGATGGTGTTTTTCCTCTTGGTGACTAACTGCATGCCAATACCATATTTTCTTTTTGTCCTTAGAAATATATTGTTCACTTGCTGACTCTTGAGTTTTAAAGAATTGATCCAGGATGCCATCATGTGAAGACTCTTAGGCTGAGGTTTCACTCTTGTGATCAATTCCAGCATCCTCGGAGTCTCCAGTCTTGTCCCAGCCCTGGCATTCATCTCGGATTTCGCTAGTGCTGGGAAACCTCTCCCTCTGTCACTTTTCCTCTCTTTATTGTTAGAGTCAGGAATGAAAAATTCTTAATTCTCCATTCTATTCAATGGAAGTTAAAAGCAAACTAAAAAAATGGTACTTCCAATCTTCTTTGATATATTTCAGAAAGATGTGCGATATTTTGGGTAATGCAATAAGCAATATGAAGGGTGATGCAATAGTCACAATCGATTTCCCTGATGAATCTTCTTCTAGACCTACACTGTTCAATACAGTAGCCATTATTCTCAGTTATTATTTTAAACAATGTTTTTTTTTAATTAAAAAAAAAAGTCTTTATTGATTTCAGAGAGAGAGAGAGAAACATCAATGATGAGAGTCATNGTTTTTTTTAATTAAAAAAAAAGTCTTTATTGATTTCAGAGAGAGAGAGAAAAACATCAATGATGAGAGTCATTGATTGGCTGCCTCCTGCACGCCCCCTACTGGGGACCAAGCCTGCAACCTGGGCATGTGCCCTGACCGGGAATCGAACCTGTCAATAC